ATACCTAGTACCTTTTATAGCTATAAGGGTTTACACTTTATTGAAATATTTTATTAAAAATACTTAAAGAAAAATATTTAAGCCACTATTTGCGGTATATCATAAAACAAAAAACTTTCTGTAAGGTATTATCTTTAAAAAAAATAAAAAATTGCAAAAAAAAACCTGTTCTCAAGCCTACTATTCCCAAAGCAGCTTAGGTGGTAGAGGTTGATTTGGAGAAGTTTGAAGGAGTCCTGGAGGCAATTTAAAGTTGGAGCAGAGAACAATGGCTCGAACACGAACACATGGCCATGCTTTCAGGAAACAAAAATCGAGAAGTCTTCTTGGGATTGAAGTGATGTTGGTGGTAACTAACTGATTTTTCCACAGCCCTATTATCGCCGACAAATTGGAGGCATCAGGGACTGTAACTGGTGGTTGGACCCACGTGTGGTTGCACAGGATTCAGGAGCAGAATAAGTTACCCCGAAAATGGTAATTCCTCGAAAAGGAATAGGCTTCCAGCTAGTCCCTATATAAAATTATTTTAGAAAATACTTCTAGGTGAAGACAACAAAAAAAACTTACCCTCTCGAAATTTAGGGGACACAAGGCAACTAAAACCGACAAAAATGCAAAAGCCTTTTCATTTCGGCCATGGCTTAATATAAAGCCAAAAATTTTACAAAAAATAGGAAGTGATGATTTGATGACTAATGTCAGAGACAAACAGAAGACCAATCTCATAGAGAAAAATTCCCTAGGTTAATTAACAGTCTATGGTAAATTTGGGCCTTAGAACAACGACTTTCTTGAAAAACCGCCTAAATTATAAGCAGACAATCATAGATTCTCGAACAGTGAGACGACCTTACTCGAAGCAATAAACCGAAGACAACAGGTGTTTAACTTCAGATCGATACATTTGTTGACATTTTTCACAAAGTCAAAACAGCTGGCCGAGAAGAATAAAACAATTTAACTTTTCGTTGAAAATTAATAATTATGTACACCTTCTACAAAATAGAGAGGCAGAAAGGTAAGTCATTTATTACATGATATTCGACATTAAATAATTAACATTAACTTTATTTTCAGATTGGTGAAGATGGATTATATTTTGTTACTAAAAATCAAATTTCAACTACCAGAACCCAGAAACTAGAAGTTTAATCTATAAAATTAAATATATACTTCCATCCATATCTGTACACTAGTTATTTAAATGAATAAAGTATGTTCATGACTACTTAATATTTATTGTGTTTATAGTAAAAACCAGGTAAGCAATTTTTAACTGCTACATTACACAAAACAATCCAAAGAATATATTTCATAAAATATAATATATAGGTGTATATATATATATATATATATATATATATATATATTTATATATATATATATATATATATATATATATATATATATATATAGTAGTTTTGAGTTTCTTGAACCGTATTATATTTAATATAAAATTAATGTTTCTTGGGTTTAGGTTCAATAAAGATATGTTACATGTAGAACTAGATTTTATTTTCCATTGCAATCAATCAACGTTTCGGCAGGAAACCCTTGCCTTTGTCAAGATTCTAAAATATGTATATATATGTAAGGACAAACAGATATTGTAAAATATGTATATATATATATATATATATATATATATATATATATATATATATATATATATATATATGACTTACCAAAACGTAAAACGTGACACAGACATTAACGAACTGACATATAAAAGTTGATATCTGATATCTCATTGTTTACTGTCATTAGTATATAATTATTTTTTATATGGGCGTATCGTTGATGTTTTCGAAAAAGGTAAGGTGGAGATATGTTATGATTTAATAGCTTTTTATGATGTTATATTATTATTGTTTAAATCAGATTGAAATATATTTTATTTAGGTTTTGTGTATCTTTTTTGTCATTTATTGCGTTGTGTTTCTTTTTATTTCTATTGATTCGTATATCTCCCTCTTCTTTTTGTTTTTTTCTGTTTTTAAAATTCTGATGTTTTTAAAATCAAATTTATGCTTCTTCCCGCTTTCATGTTTTGTGAGCGCAGTGACGTTGTTCTTGTCGTATTTGTGAGAACGAATTCTGGATTGGAGCAGTTGACTGGTTTGACCGATATAGACACCTTCACAGTTAGTACATGGTATCTCGTAAACAACATGTGATTTTTAAGTTTTGGAGTTTGTGTTTTTAGTTTTGTGAAATATTTATTTAAGAGATTGTTGCCTTTGTGGGCCACTGTTATATTATGTTTGGCTAAAAGATTTGTTAGTTGTTCAGATAAACCTTTTATATATGGAAGAGTTGTATAAGTGGTTTTGATACTGTTGGGTTTGTTGTTAGTTGTATTGTTATAAAATTTATTGAGTCTTGATTTGAAAATAGTTTCGATTAGATGTTCGGGATATGCATTCTTTAGGAGGGCATTTTTTGCTTTTTTTATTACAGTTGGTCTGTATTCTGGATCTGTTAGTTTTATAGATTTATCAGCGAGACTTATAATTACAGACTTTTTATGGGAAAATGGATGATGGGAATTGTAGTTAAGATATCGTGAAGACCATGTTTCTTTTGTAAACCACATAGTTTTACTGTATTGTTAATGCGATGTAAGGTGACATCCAGAAAGTTTATTTTATTATTTTGTTCAATTTCTATAGTGAACTTTAATTTTTGATGGTAATTGTTGAAAATATCTAAAATTTCGGTTGTTTTATTTGTTGGAATAGCACAGACACAGTCATCGATATAGCGGTAGAAGAATGGTACGTTAAAATCTAGGTGACTCATGACAGATTCTTCTAAGTCTTCCAGAACTTTAAACAGAATTTTAAAAACAGAAAAAAACAAAAAGAAGAGGGAGATATACGAATCAATAGAAATAAAAAGAAACACCAACGCAATAAATGACAAAAAAGATACACAAAACCTAAATAAAATATATTTCAATCTGATTTAAACAATAATAATATAACATCATAAAAAGCTATTAAAATCATAACATATCTCCACCTTACCTTTTTCGAAAACATCAACGATACGCCCATATAAAAATAATTATATACTAATGACAGTAAACAATGAGATATCAGATATCAACTTTTATATGTCAGTTCGTTAATGTCTGTGTCACGTTTTACGTTTTGGTAAGTCATATATATATACATATTTTACAATATCTGTTTGTCCTTACATATATATACATATTTTAGAATCTTGACAAAGGCAAGGGTTTCCTGCCGAAACGTTGATTGATTGCAATGGAAAATAAAATCTAGTTCCACATGTCTTTATTGAACCTAAACCCAAGAAACATTAATTTTATATTAATTATATATATATATATATATATATATATATATATATATATATATATATATATAATTTATATTAATTATATATATATATATATATATATATATATATATATATATATATATATTTTATATGATTTTAAACAAGCATTTGATAGAGTATGTAGGGACAGACTGTGGACAGCGATGCAGGAACTTGGCTTTCCAAAAAAACTAGTCCGGTTGATACGGATGTGTATGGAACGGTTACGATGTAAGGTTAGAGTTGGACAACAATACTCGGAGACATTTGAAATAAACAATGGACTAAAACAGGGAGATGCACTTTCACCACAACTCTTCAACTTAGCTCTGGAGCACATAATCAGAAGTGCAAGAATCGAAAAACCGAATACAGTATTTCATCGAGAAGGACCAAACTTACTACTGGCATTTGCAGACGATATAGATCTAATAGGAAACACGCGATTAAGGATGAAGGAGACTTTCGTAAGGTTTGAGAAGGAAGCAGAGAAGATGGGGCTCCAAATCAACGAAAACAAGACGAAATATATGTATATGAGCCGCAATAACCAAAGCAGAGACAGAATCGGTCAGAACATTACCATCGATGACTTTAACTTTGAGCGCGTTAGGGAATTCAAGTATCTTGGAACAACAATAACTGAAGACAATAACGGATCACAAGAAATAAACAACAGGATTCAGGCCGGCAACAGATGTATTTTTGCCCTCCAAAACCTTATAAAATCAAAACAACTAACACGACGTACGAAGATACAGGTCTATAAAACAATCATACGACCCGTTGTGATGTATGGAAGCGAAACGTGGACGATGACAAAGGCAAATGAAGAGAGACTACGTGTTTGGGAAAGAAAAATCCTAAGGAAGATCTTTGGTCCGGTGCTTGATGAAACATCAGGACAATATAGGATAAGAACTAATAAAGAGCTTGAAGAACTTTACCCAGACGCCAACATCATAAAAGAAATAGAGTCCAGAAGACTCCAATGGGCAGGACACCTCAGAAGACATTCTGACGAACGAACAGTAAGACTGGTGTGGCAGGAAGTCCCAACTGGAAGGAGACCACGCGGATGCCCTCGTCTCCGGTGGCGAGATAATATAGCAGGAGACCTAAGCACTATGGGCGTGGAGAATTGGATGGAGGTTGCTCAAGACAGAAAACAGTGGAGGCATGTTGTCGAGTCGGCTAAAACCCACGAAGGGTTGTAACGCCACGGAGTAAGTAAGTAAGTAAATATATATATATATATATATATATATATATATATATATATATATATATATATATATATATATATATATATATATACTACGTAGAAGGACGTAGAGGCAGAGGACGCTCACCTATCCGATGGTCAGATCAAGTACAGAAAGCCACTGGAGAGACGTTTTCCGAGTCTATGAGAGCAGCCCAAAATCGCAAGAGATGGAGAGAATTGACAGCCCGCATTGTAGGGAATCACGATCCTCAGCAATGAGGAAACGACAAGATATATATATATATAATATATATATATATATATATATATATATATATATATATATATATATATATACATATACATTGAGTAACTTGAGTTCACCACACAAAAGTGCTGAAAATAAATATTACAAAATCAATCAATATTCATTGAAACTCACCTGTTTATAAACTTCTAAAAAGTGCAAATGATTTTGTCTCAGCAGACCAGCCACTAAGCTTACTAATCTTTCGGGTTCTAAAACACCTGCACTTTCAAAATCCAACGGCCTATGAAGATCCGCGGCAGCGTAGCGTTCAAATTCGGTGCTTAGCATTTTGTCTATCAGTTTTTGCATTTCCTTGAGCTGAGAAGGAAGGTGTCTAAGACTTGTGACCTTTAAAAAGTGATTAACATTATAATATTAAAATGTCATCATAGTGCTACAAATATTAAAAATGAAAAAACATATATATTTAAGAGAAGAGAAGTACTAAGGAGTGTCAATAAAGATAAAGAACTGCTAAAGACTGTTAAACATCGAAAAATGTCTTATCTGGAACATATAGTAAAGGAAGTCGATATAAAATATTCGTGAATGGCCTCGGATATCAAATTCGGGACAATTCTTCCATATTATAGAAGATCGAGAAGCCTTTGCAATGATGATCGCCAGCGTCGGAGAATTCTGATATGGCATGCGAAGAAGAAGATATATTTAAGAAACAAGTTACAGACATGGTAAAAATAATAACAGGAAAGGAAGACCAGACAGAAATAGTTCGATACGCAATTTTGAGTAAAATCAGCAGTTGGGGTTTCGCAACTTTTCATAAACTATTAAATTAAATATTAGATGGGAAATATTTCTACGTCATGCCGGCAACCCCATATAAATGAGGAAGGTGCAAATCAAAGAAGGAAGCATCTCCGACTGCAAGAATGAAGCGACATTTGCGAGTATTCGCCCCCACTTAGATTTCCGGGTTTAGATCAAATGCATCCACGAGAATCGACATCTACATCATCTTGTTCTACATCATTCTAACCGTTTGAGAAAATTTTTGCGTTGGTTTACCAAGTGTTAACTTTATCGTGTCTACAAAGTTTTATTGATTTCATTATTATTCGAATATGTATCATTAATTCTATTTTGATGTTCTTCTATTAATAATTGTATTAATTTCATTATTATTCGTATATTTATCGCGATTGCATTTTGTGTGCCTTTATTAACAAGGTTTATTCATTTCACTATGAATTAAGTTTTTATTGATAATTTACTATTATATGTATTCAGATATCGTTCACGTTTATATCACGTTTATAATATTAATTACATATTGCTTATATTATTGTTTTTTGACGTAAGTTTACTTAACAATCGACCATAAAGCGCTTTTTAATTATCTTTATCATCAAAATACACTTAAATACACTCAAAAATAGAAGCATTCGAAATGTGGTGTTACCGACGTATTGTGAAAATATCATGGATGGATCGCGAAACAAACGAACAACTAGGAAAACAATGCGAAGTTTTAAATTCCATAAAAATCAGGAATTTGGAATACTTGGGGCACATCATGAGAGATGAAAAGTACGAAATACTAAGGAATATAATGCAGGGTAAAATCAAAGGTAGAAGAAGCGTAGGAAGACGTAAAATCTCGTGGCTACGCAATCTCCGTGAATGGTTTGGATGCAGTTCAATTGAACTATTCAGGCGCGTAACCAACAAAATTATAATTGCCAGAATGATTTCTAATCTCCAATAGGAGTGGAACTTGCAGAAGAAGAATCATCAAAATGTTTGTTAACATCTTTGACCTAAACCTATTTATTCACTTAGTTTTGGGTACCTGATATAAGAATAATTTAATCACGGCCTGTGACAATCATTATTCCTTTGTACTTTATTTTGACGATTGTTAATTGTCACTGAAAATTTTACCTTTTTGTATTATCGTATTGTCATAGTATATTATGTTGGTAAATTGTCGCACTGAATAATCACCTTTGTCGTAATTATTCTCAACTTTAAATAAATATTTGTTTAGTGCGGGTCACGTCGCATATTTTAATCTTGTAGAAATTAATGAGTTTATTTGGATTTTCGTATATTTCTTTTATATTCCTTTGATACTTAAGTGTATTGTTAAACCAATATAAGAATATTAATGTTGCTCATTCTATCTGGACTACTTGATCTACTATTAGTTTAAAATTGACTACAGAGTTAACTTATGGCAATTACTCCAACGAAATATTCGCTTAATTTTAGAGTATGTAATATGTGATACAATATTTTATGAAACCAATTCTTACCCCAGCTAACTCTTTTGCTAAAACTTCTTGAGTACCGGATATAAGTTCCAAAGCACCTACGTAATCTGAAGAACTCAGCAAAAGCTGTAAAGTTGGCTGTGTCTGCAACACTGTTGCCATTAATTTTAATTTATCTAACAAAGCCACATTGTTGGATTTTGATCTTGCTAATCCAATCAGTCTCAAGGAATCTCTAGCCAAGGCTTTATCCACCTAAAAATGAATATTTTGAGTGAATGTTAATAAAATTCAAATACTTTTCAAATTTCCTCTTTCTTTGGACTGGTTTGCCAATACTCTACTAGCTTAGTTAGCATGAACCAGGGAGTTCCAAGAACAAGACAACTTGCAAATAGCTGGTGAGTTATTATCGCTTCTTGACGAAAAAAGGAAACAAAATGGACGCATACGACTGAAAATTTATATTTTAGGCCAGTAGAAAATCTTGGAGTCTGCTGAAGAAACTTGGAAACAATATGCAGAGCAAGCTAGGTTAGACCCAATCGAATCTGTTGTGACCAAAAACTAGCACTAACAACCTATGTCGAAGCCGGCTTTCAAAATGTCCTCAAAGAATCCGCGGCATTTATAATCATCACATACAACTTTCCTTGATGAAAGATGCCAACTTGCTAGGATATTAAGTTATCGGTGACAAAATAAGTACAAAGAAAAAACTAAACAATGGGCTCCTACAGGGCTCGGTTCTTACACAACTTCTTTTCAACACCTGTGCTGTTAAGTTCGAGGTCTCTAATATCAGATGACTTAGACACAAACAAATGGTGGAAAATAGATGGTAATAAAACACAGAATCACACATTCATATATGACTCCATCCTAGTCAACTGGTTTTATCATCCTAGCACAAACATCAGCACAGACATCCTAGCAAAGTGGGATGAGATTCAGTCTCCAGATTGTGACTGTAGCCACACAAACAAAACAAGATATTACTTCTGAATGTCCACTACAAACATATGCAGGACCATAGAGTGACTTTTGAAACAACACCTGAAGCAATAAACTGGATATGTATTCTTGTCACCAATATTTAATAAAGATACATATTTCAAGTTATTTTTATGACTTTAATTAAAAAAAATTATTATAGTAAAATTTGTAATTTATACAACTTTCCTTGATGAAAGATGCCAACTTGCTAGGATATTAAGATTTCTAGCCTTCCTTGGCTAATATCTTCTTCTCACATAAATTTAGATCTATTATCAGAAAATATGAAAGAAACCAATCGGCATCACGCAATATCATCAACCAGGGTTCAGTGGTCATGCCAGAGATCACACTAAGCGAAATCCAAGACGCAATGAAAAATATGAAAAACAACAAACCACTAAGAGAAGATGTAGTTGTAATAGAAGCTATAAAGATGGGCAGACGTGCCCTTCACAACCAAATAAAAATGTTATTTAGCTCTATCTAACAGATTGTTGCATATCGGAAACATGGAACAATGCAGTACCAATTTTACTACACAAGAAAGGAGACCAGGTGCACCTAGAAAACTATAGACCAATTAGCTTATTGAACCACATCTATAAAATGTTTACCAAATGTTTACAAAATTCGGAACAAACAATCACTTACAAACAGTAAAAACCTTAATAGAAAAATCGATAGAATACAACAGATCACTGATACTTATCTTCGTAGACTTTTACAAAGCCTTCGATACCGTGGAATTAGACACCATTATAACTGCTTTGAACAATAGTAGAATAGACTACCGGCTTACAAAATACGCCTCGAATACGCCTTTAAAATGCTAAAGTGGGAAAATAATAAAAATAGAAGGGGAAATGCTCAATCATCTACGTTTTGTTGACGATATAGTACTTATTACCGAAGATCTGCGTGAAGCACAACAAATGCTACAAGAACTAGAAAACGTATCTTCAACAATAGGTCTAAAAATGAACATCAATAAGACCAAATTTATAACAAATTAGGTTCCCAGCGAACACCTAACCCTCCAAAATCAAGTGGTAGAATTGAGAGAAAAGTACATATATATCTCGGTCATGAAATCAGAATAAGCAAGGATAATCAGACCAGTATATACAGACCGGATAACACTTGCTTGGGTGGCGTATGATTCACTAAGAAACATCTTTAAGGGCAACATCCCGATAGCTATGAAACGGAAAACATTTGACCAATGCGTTCTTCCTATTAGGATATACGGAGCAGAAATTCTCACTCTCACAAAAACAACAGCACTAAAAATGCGAGTTGTACACAGGCGCATGGAAAGATCGATTCTCGGCGTGACAAAAAAGACAAAATAAGGAACCAAGACCTAAGGAAAAGAACAGGTATCACTGATGTCTTCGAACGTATAGCCAAGCTGAAATGGAATTGGGAAGGTCACATAGCGAGACTAAAAGACTCAAGATGGACCAGAAAACTAATTGACTGGCGCCCAAGAGAAGACAAACGCAGCAGAGGACAACCACCAATATGCTGAATGGACGACATTAAACGAATATCCAAGAAATGGCAACAAGGCGCACAGAACCGTGAAGAGTGACGAAAAATGAGAGAGATCTATGTTCAGCAGTGGACAGAAGAGGTTGCATGATGATGATGAAACTAGCTGAGACTAATACTATCTTAATAGGAGAACTTTGTGGGATATATAAAGCCATATGTTACGTTACAAAAGTTCTGACTTTAACTTCCTAATAATTACAGACTCCCTAAATCCTCTAGAAATCATCTCTAAAATGTATTCTTTCCATCCTGTGGCCAAACTGATTAGACAAAAATTGCACAATCTAAATCACAGAAACATTACTTTCCTGTGGGTGACATCTCATATTTTAATCACGGGAAACAATCTGGAAGATTCAGACAATACGCACGAGACAATACGCCGATACAACGAGACAATACAACGATTCTGGACAATATGCACGAGAAGTCTTAGAGGACGCAACTATTGCGTTATATCCAAAAACTCATATGGAATAGCAGATGCCACAAAAAACCTGCAAAATTATTTGAGATACAACCAAAATTTCAACCATGGTCTGATAGTTGCACCAATCGTTTTTCTGAGGTGATATCACACAACTGCGAACACAGTGCGGAAAGATGTGAATTCGGAATCTCGGAGAATTTGAAAGGACTATTTTAAAGTGTGGTACCAAAGTGACTATTCAATATTTACAGGCAATAAAATATTTATACAAAATTTGAGTGTTAATATAAAATAAAACTAGATAAATCTGAATAGTTATAGAAAGATGGCATTGAAAAAATTCCGTTAACAGAATGAAAGCTACGACTATCTTGGATGGCATAAATTTTAAACAATTTTATGTTTTATGCCTATGTGCATTTTATCCACTTATATGCGATAAGCAGAGGTGATACCCAGCTCACCTACCTTCAAGCTTTCCTTTAAACAGATGTCATAGAGATTGGAGTCAAAATAATTCTTTAATGTTTTGAGGGGCAAACTTTTAGACAGAAAGTGCCAATCATACCTAACTGAAAACATGCCTTCTCCAGAAGTTTTCTTGTAGTTGTTGTAGACTGCTGGTTAGATTTGAGTGTTGCTTTCTTTTGGTGTTTGGAAACTACCTATTAGAATAAAGACCAGTAAAGACAAACCTATGCAAATCTACTAAGAAACTGATTAATTGTAAGTTACGAATAAGAAAATTTTAAAAATTATCAGGAAGATGTTGATATGTCATATTAAAATTTGTATTTATTGGTAAAACAAAATTTTTAAAATGGATTAAATATAATATATGGAAGTATTACTCACCCTTTGTACTTTAGATCGCAGGCTTTTTACTTCCCCTAGAGCAATGCCCATTTGCTCCATAATACTATCATGGGATGTCATAGCATGGAAGAATGCACCAGATTTTTGAGATACTTGCTGGGCAATTTGTTCCTCTACTATATCTAAATGATGGCTGAGCTCATCTTGTAGTTCATGTTCAGTTTTCTTTGTCTAAAACATACACCAATTATTGTACAAAATTTTCGAAATAATGATGACAAGATACTTTTATAAATTATATATTTTAAGGGATTTAATACATTTGTTAGATATTAGTAAGTCATTTAAGATTTAGGACGTGTGAATTTTTTTTTTGTATGTAGTTTTAAATGGCACCCAAGTTTAGAAATTCAGCTTTATGAGCATTTTCTTATTGTTGTAATAATTTATATATGTATTTATAGGCGAGTAGTTTTCCCCTAAAAAGGCGGTAAAAACTAAATATACGGACTATATTTTTTCAAGTTCAAATGTATTTTTTTTTCTTTCTAATCTGTTTTTTAACATATCTCGTTAAAGTAAATACTTTTTCCCTCTTCGAAATTGTTCGAAAAATTCCTTTTAGAGTTATTTGCAATTTTTTGTTGAAAAATGCCTTAGTTAAGGATTTTTAGGATTTTTTCTAGAAAACTATTAAATGAATTACAATTCTACAAAAAGCTTTATAATATTTAAACCTTCACGTATAAGCAAGAATATTTTGATAAGGATAAGTGGTTTCCATCTTGTAAAAAACATAGTTTTGAATTTAAACAAATATTTCTAAGAGTTGCGCGCCTGTATCGCCGCGACCGTACACGCTTATTAATTGCAATTCATTTAGTAGTTTTGTAGAAAAAAATCCAAAACTAAGTAATTAAGGCATCATTTCAACAAAAATTTGCAAATAACTCAAAAAGGAAAGTAAACATTTTTCGAAAAATTACCAACATAAAAAAGTATTTATTTTGATAAGATACGTCTAATAAAATTTTACTTGAAGCGATTAGGGAAATTGTTTTTTTTTATTAGTTACAATTTCCAGCCAAAAATATACATTTGAAAACAAAATATGAAATCGAATAAAAAACGTTTATGCTCAGCTTATATTACTCTCTTATTAATTTGTGAGTTACTTACATAATCCACTGTTTATGATAGATAATACATTAGATTAAATTTTAAAGACTAGTAAAAATGAAATATGAAGATAAATAGGAACACTAGCAAAAACTATATTACTGCGCGGCATAAGTTAGGAATATTGCCAATATGATAGTAATGGTACTACATTCTGCATCAATTATTTGTAAGTAAACAATAAAAAATTAATTATTATAGTTTTTAAAAAACATGAAAATTTGAGACCTTATAAAGAGAATCAGACCAAAAAAGTTCCATTCTAAGTATTGACAAAGCACCTTTGCAGCCATTTGAAAATTACCTTTGTTCTCTCAAACTGGATAAACAAATATAATTGTTTAAAAACTACTTGACCGGTTGTGTCCATCTTTCGCAACTGTATTATGAAATTTGATTTAAATGTTTCTATTGTTTATTTTAATAATTATAAAAAATTGAAAAACATGCTTAATTTGCAATACCTTTTTTGTTATAAACATTTTTTAATTTAGAAAATCTCATTTTAAAGACAAACTATTTTCAAGAAAGTCTGTTGATTTTTTTAAATGCGTAGTTTTCTCACAATATTGAAATGAATGAAAAAAGTCGGTTTTTTTTTTGCTTAAATGTCATGACACAGTAAAAGTTTAGATAACTACAAGAGAATACGCCTTTTCTATTGACTTCCCAGATATTCCAGTTGTTAAAAAATAGCGCCCAGTGAATTTTCGATTTTTCGGCTTCATTTCATGGTGTAGTAAACTATAACCAACTTATAAATTTAATTTAATTATTTAGTTGTTTGAATAAAACAAAAAAAACTAGTGTCCATTGTTGATATAGATAAGTGACTTAATTGATTTATACGGTTGTATAATTGTTGTATTATTATTTATTTAATGTGAATTTAGCTATAATATCCGTAACTTATGCATCACAGTTTAATAATAAAGTCAGATAAAATGCTGAATCTTAATACATTATAACAAAGAGGAGTAAGAGCTAATGTCTGCTTTATTTTTAAGCTAATTAATGCTGCTAATGATCATATAATCTTTCATCTACATTGCTTCCCTAACATCCCTGTTAAACAATTAAGACATATTTATCTTTTTGTCATTCCTATTCACTAGGAAAATTATAGATTAGTGTTCTACTGACAGAACATTAAAATTCATTAAAATCAAAATAGACATATAAAATTTTGGATTGAATATTATTTAAGAATCCCTGTGTAAATGTGGTATGTTTTTTAATAATTAAATTTAAATTATTTAAAGAAAGACAATACCAATTCTCTACCTATATTTTTCCTTTATATATGTTTTTAAAACTTATACATCTATGTTTATTATTAGATATTTAAATTGTAAAATAACGCTTCCCATGCATTTTGAAAAAAAAAATGGGACATATTATGGTTTTATAATAATAAATAATAAATACTGCAAGTTTTAATCTTATTATTTAGTTGATAATCTTAATATGGTGTTTTATGAAATTTTTACATTGTTATTGCTATAGGAAGATTATCTACTATGACACATTAGTTAAGTTATCCTTTATATAAACTAAAACATAAGATAAAAATTTTTTCAGAAATATGATGTGGATCAATTGTACATAGAGATTAAATCATCAGGAAAAAATAAAAAGAAAAAGGCCTACCACATATAATTACTAAACCATTAAAAGTATAATATTCTATAAGTAAAAAAAATCGAGTCATACTTTAGCATAAATTTTACATAATTTCAAGTTAATATGGTTTTTAATGATTACTTTAAATAATACCTCAAACTGATAAAAAGTTTATAGATGATATGCTAATACCAAAAAAATTATTACAAATTATGACTATTGATAGTAGTAGAAACTATTGTAGCTAAACTAAAATAAAAAATATTTAAAATATATCTTTAACCATTTCTAAATGACATGTACAGTTGAATTAAATTTAAAAAAATTAGGTCACTGATTATGTGAGATAAGCACGGTCTAATGGAAGCTAAGGATGACTCAACCCTTGGCTCTAGGTATCAGGCAACACACAGGTTTCATTAGTCTTCTCACAACATGAGAAGTGACTCTAGTGACTCTCCATTCCCCAGTTTCTGGCAGGACAAGAATGTACTAAACAAACAAAAACTACAATGAAGCTCCACAATTAAAGAAAAATATTTAAATATCTGTTGAGTAAGTCCTGGATACAAAAGATGAACACATCTACAGTAGATGCTAAATTGATCCTAAATCCACAAGCACAGCCATATGGTACAAATAAAAGATCTTTCAGGTTGCAGTTTGGAATAGTCTGTACAGCTAAATAACCCTTTTATCTAATATCTATAATCCTCTCTATATTTTGACATTCTATTCTTAATTTGTCCATATATTTTGTTTTTCTGGTAAACTATTGTGTGTATCCAAGACTTCCAATCAAAAGAAATCAAAGTAACATCTTGAGTGCCTCAAGTTTCACACCTGGGCCATCTTTGTTTTAATATTTTTGCAGATTATTTATAATTAAATATGAAAATAAAGGATAACTATTATTATCTAAAGTTGCAAGCTGGTTTAGATCATCAGGACCACTTGGACTAAAGAAATGTCAAACTTAAAGTCACTTAATGTCATAATGTTTGCAAATGGTTACCCTTTGGAATAGTAGCTCAAATAGAAGATTTAGTTGTCCTTGAGACCAGGTTATATTTCATACTACATATTGTCCCTACTATTTCCAACTATCAAATGTGAAAAAACTTTTCAGGAGACCAATATAACACTTTTTCAGTGAATCAAAAATGAGCAGCTTGACAAATGGAAAATTTTTTATATTTTTTATGTGTAATGTTACTCCTTGTTAGATTGATAACAAAATTAAACTGCTTATCATTTTTTCTTTCCAAAAAATCACATTTGGTACTTTGCTTTTTGCGTTGATCAACAATTTGTTTTGGTCCAATGATTCAAAATCTCAAATATGGCATTTTTTACAGTTTATGTTGTTATAATTTTAACACAAAATAATTATTGTTTTTCTAATATGTTCTTAAAAAAGTTTATTACAAATTGTTTAATTAAAAATGGAAGTAATAAGATAAAATGGGAAAATTACATTTAACGAAATTATTAGAGGTATTTTTTTTAAGTAGGTATTGCTAGAAAATTAATGTAAAGGCAGGTTGACACGATCCAAGATTGCTTGGATTCCAACTGCGAGCAAGTGAACTTGTACAAGTTTACTTGTACCAAGTTGATTGCCACAGTTAAATGACTTGGATGTCAAATAATCATTGTAAAGATGGCGGAAGTGATTGTGGAAGCTGTTCTAGTGGTTGCTGATATGTTGATACATGAGCTTGAAATCCAGACAAAAGGAATAAAAAGAAAACATGCCATACTTCTAGCATCCTTATTTTTATATTCCTTTATCAATACATTCCATAATGCTTCCTCAGCTTCGTATAACTCCATGAATCTAACACTTTCCCTTTCAGACCATTTTCTTTTTGTGTTTACTTCTCGTTTGCGATTGTTCGACAATGACCCTATTTTAATTTTACAATACCACACTACTTGGATCCAAGAAAGTTGGCCAGTGTCCTACTTAACTTGGATAGAGCCTGTTGATACTTGGATAGAGCTTCCAAGTGTTGTGTGCGCAACATCCAATCAGTCTTTAACCAAGTACACTTGAATTGTGTTAACTAGAAACGTAAAAAACATAAAAGTTTAAAGTAGTCACAATACAATAATTATGGAACTTCACTTCAAGTAAATACCTCAAGTACTCAGTCATAACCCTCAACTGTTGTAAAATAATGGTAAATTAAAAGTTTTAAATTTTGAATTAAATGTTTTCAGTGTCTTCAATTACCTCAGGTTCTGGAAGACAATTTCTGGCAGTACTACATGTTGGTACAGATTTGTAATATTGGTAGTATGGCCTAGGTAATAAATTTTGTTCACATAATGACAAGAGGTGTTTATTCTTGGTATCTGTATACTGTATACTGGGGAATTTTTTTACTTGAATTCAATTTTTGAATGGACAGAATTATGTTCCATCTCTGAGTGACCAGGTACAAAAAACACATGTTTATTTGTTTTTAAATTTGGGTGACAATTAACAACATATTGACACATGACAGAAAAAGCAAAGTTTTTCTGTTGTCCAACGCAATTGTCAGACATTATTTTGACATGCTCAATATCAGTGTAAGAGCTGATGATTCAACTAGTCTGTTTTTCCTCGGTTTCATCCCTTATAAAACACTGAATGCTCCTGTCTCCTAAAATATAAATGGTCAAATTATATATGACAAGATTTTTCACATAAGAAAGATCCTGTGGCTCCTTTAGGTATGGAGAAAACAAATTGCAGGCATTAAATTACATTATTTTCCTATTCTCTAAGGGCTACAGTTTATCTTCATTCTTTTCTTTTTCTGGGTGCATCTTTTTTTCGAAGTGTTTGCAATGGGCTTTGAGGTTTAAAGCTTTTCGTCATCTGACTACCATCATAAGTGATACAAACTTTGTTAAAGTGTTTTTTCGGCTTGTAAACTTTCAATTTTTAAGTTCAAAATATTTTCCTGCAGGTTTTGTAGAATTTTTCTTTTTTCTCCTTACCTTTACACTCTTCCTTATACAATTCATACATCTTGTCAGAGCAGTATAGCCATCTCTCTGGATCGAAACAAAATCTATTCCTGTCTTAAACAATAGTTATAAAATAACTATATACGGACGTAACTATGCCATCTAATAACAAAAAGAGAAATGAAACGATTTCTACCTGGTGAAATCAAATTCAAATTTTGACCACCTTGCTTTCTAAAACTTGAAAAGCAAACAGCTTGATAAATAAGTCTACAAGGGAATCTAAGATTGCATTCCACATGTCGTTTATCATGGTCAAAATTCGTAGTGAATTCAATTTCTGGTACTCCAAATGGAGTAAAGAAATAAAATATAAAGATGGTACTAGATTTTTATTAAGCGACAATGTCAATAGTTTCAAACATGTTGTATCACTCCTAATGTGAGAATAAAGTATTGAAAATGAAAATCTTGATTTTTCACATTCGATAGTTGAAAATTATAGGAACAATATATCAATGGTAGTCTCAAATTCCCACAAAGTGCTTGGCTTTATTAAATACTGTGTTAAAATTTTTCTTAATAAAACTTCCATTAAAATATTGTTCCATTCACTTTTGAAATGTCACTACCATGTTTATGGTCCCCCACCCTCTACTATAATTTGCATATTTTGGCCATCGATAGTTACTCACAAATTTTTAAAAAATTTTCATTCAAGTATAATACATACAATTGAGAAAATCAATTTGCCTAGCATTAAGAGTTTTCTTGATATCACCATAGACCAGAAACATGCACAAGAATCTCACTGTGTCCTAGAATAATTTACAGTCACATAGTCTTATTCTCGAACTTTTAGGAAAGATAAATGTTCATGTTCCTTTTATATAAACAAGGCTAAATTCACCCTTGTAACTTAGATCTCAATAAAGTATGGTTATAATTGATATCCTTTTAAACTTTCTAGTTTTGATAATCTTTTTTCTATTTGTAATAAATCATAACTTACATCTTGTATGACTTAATTTAGTTTTACAATTCTACCTGGTGTTTGTTTAAAAATTATAATTTATGAAATATTACCTATTATATTATTATTATTATATCTAAATATTAATGTATATTTGTCTGAGATAAGTTAAGTTTAACATTATATAGTCTTTATTTTTTTGGTATTTCATTTATATCAATTATCTATTTGTGTCTCAAATATAAATAAATAAAATAAATATAGGTTGAGTTTACTGAAAGTACAAACTGATTATAGTTGCAAATGTCAAACATAGAACAAAAAATTTGGGTTTAGCAGTGTTGGCATGTTTTTATAATGTAGATGCTGTATGCTTCAAATATAAAAATATAAAGCTTTAGAAAAGTACATTTTGTTTATATTATGTTATGAATTCTGTAATTTTTTATTTATGTAGATCATGAATGAGTAAATATTTGTTTCTTTGGAGATTAATTGCAGTTAAGTATTAGAAATTTTTTTTGGCAATTAACATTTTTTGATAGATGGGGGGATAGATTTGGCAATCATCAAATCAGCAGTTGCCAGATTGCAATAGATGGTTGCAATTGATCTCAAAAGAGACAAATATTTACTCGTTATTGTTGCATATAAATTAAAAATTATAGAATTCATAAAATACTATCATCAAAATGTACTTTTTAAAAGCTTTCTCTCTTTATATTTGAAGCATACAATATATGCATAAAATGTCCCATATAAATGTATAAAAAGGTCCCAACACTGCCAAACTGAAATATTTTATTTCATGGCAGTTGAAAATATTTTATTTTCCACTTTGACAGTTGCGACTATATTCAACTTATACTTTCGGTAAACTCAACCTAAATATATAATCTTTCCACTTTATAAGGGATATTTATCTATCCTTACTCTATTTTGAGATTGTTGATGTTACTTGTGTCTTTGTGTCTATGCAATTGTTTTATTGTTATTTAAATACAGAGTAATTTTCTTGGTATTTGATCTATTTTGTAATACAATTTATAGCTTGTGTTTTCTTATTGTACTATGTAGCTTGTACAGTGATATATATGGAGAGAAAATGGAGAAATTTCCCCTCTGACGAGGTCCAAAATAAAAAAATTGTTGAAACAAAAATATATTAGCTGACATGAAACTTAAATCACATACAGACAAATTCAACCCAATAAACCCACTAGTTAGAATAATTATGTTCCCTCCCAAGGCAAATGTTAAGATCTGCCTCTGAGCTAGCAAGAGTCATATACTTGTGCTCTGTATAACATACTTTAGGTTCTCCCAAGATTATTTATTTTATTCACAAAAGGTTTTTGTAGACACATGCTCATTACAAATTTATTTAGGATAATTAAAAAGTTCTCAAATACAATCACATGCTTTTGAACCTCACTTTAAAGATGTTATTAATTATGGCCATTAATGCCTATGGAGCAGTCCTCATAAAATATTTTGTAATGACTTATGTAAACAACAGATAATGGACTTTTTTAAACTTATCCTTTTATGAATCAACAAGGTAAGTACAAGATACAGAACAAAGCAGAGACAAAGTTCTTAAAAAGTACTTCGAGTTATGACTGATAAATCTAAATACATTAAATGTTTTTTCAGTGACATTCTATTTACATGCCTGATAACTATAGGAAAAATTTAAAACTAAAAAAGGCACGGGGCCTAAAACTAGTTCTGTTACCTGAAAAACATCTTGAAATATTTTTGGATCATGTAAATTCAGATGCTGCCTTAAATATATGTCAGGAATGCCTTCAGTGTTCAGACTATGGGTTTTGATTTTAATATGATTATTCTCGAACTTTATCCTCTTATTATCACTGTGCTTTTTATACCGTTTTCCATATTTTTTTAAGTATCCCTCAAAATGCGCCCATGTAATCTCAGGTAAAAACGGGCTCTTCTCTATAACTGATTTCTCTACAAAAGTATCTCCCCAAGTCTTAGTAAAAAAATTTGCTTGTTTTCCCTTGTTGGGATCTGTTAAAACAGCGGGCAAGTGTTGGGAAGCTGAGTAAAGAGACCAATGGTCATCTTCACCGTTCATCTTTGAAACTATTGGTATCACTACCTAATTTTAAACTTTTTCACTATACGAGACATTGCGAAAATTATTTAGAAACTTTGAGGTGACGCGGTTGACAGTTCCTGTATAGTCCCTATCACATTGTCAGTTCTGTCAATGTCAGTTTAAATATGTCAAATTATCAGATGTCTACGTAGAATACTGTAATAGAGAATTTTTTTTTGCAGGTTTTATTTCAAAAATGACCAAAATTACGACAGCTCATTATCTAGATTTACATTAAATTTTAAAATACTTAAAAAATGAATTTGATATAGTTAATAATTATTAAAACTACAATAGTCAATAAAAACAAGTTAAAAGATAAACCATAGAGGTCAGCACCTAAAAATCTTTAAGAGGATTCGTAGCGATTAGATTTTCTTTTAAATTAAATCCACTTCTATAAAAATTTAAAAATTAAAAAAATGACTACTTGTTTAATACTACTTTTTTTCTACATCTCTACTATTTCAACAAAGATCGACACTTTTGAATTAAGACCATTTATGGGTCTGATGGTATTGTGGCATTTTAAGTTTCATTGTTGCGACTATGAGAAATTGTATTGTAAAGAAATAGTTTATTTTCTAAGTACATTTGTGACTAATCCCAAAAGAATATAATAATTATGGGAGTTAAGGATCGGTATTCGATTTTATGGATCTATATTTAATTACCATTATAGAGGTAACTGTTATTTTTAATAGTATAAATGTAAAGAGTAGCGCACCTAGAATTTTCCTCTGGGGGTGTTTTGGTTGGGAACCGAAATTTGTATGCTACCTTTACCATTTTAAGTCCTTAAAATTTGTAAATAACAGTGTCAGAATGGGGCCCTGGAGGGAGGGGTTTAACTCCCAAACCCCCCTGGGTGCGTAACTGAATGTACTGATTGTATAATATTATTACCAATATAACCACAGACCACTAATATTATTACTAATAAATAAGACTTACATCAACTAAATTGTTTATTGACAGAACTATGATTGACTGTTTGGGATAAGACAGAATATCTAAAACATAAATGGTCTCTTTAACCTGTGCTTTAACTAAGGGTAGTTTTATAACAGTAACAAAGTTAAAAACCGAACAGCAGGGCAGTAAAGAATATTCCTCAAGTATAAAATAAAAACATGATGTGCTACAAAAGTGTTACTAAAAACTCTTTTACAGATTACCCGTAGAGCTATAAATTTATTAAATACCTACCATCCTGAATTTATAACTAAAATTCTGCAAGATCGAATAAACTACCAATTACTCTATCAATGTTCTCACTGTCTGCATATGGTCTAATGTGCTATATCCTTTGTGAAAGCCAGCCTGTTCTATCCGTTGGTATGCCATTTATTTTGTATAGCCACATCTTAAGAAAAGACAAACACGAAGTAAAATTAATAATAAAAGAAAAGATCGAAGGAAAGTCAGATCCAGGTCGTAAGCATACTTGCTGGCTAAGTAACTTTAGATAATGAGAAAATTGAGAAATATTACAGGAAAAAGGCTAAGAGACCTAAAGTGAAAACATGAGGAGAAAATTTTACGTACACGATATCAATGGGTAAATAATAAACAGAAAAAAAAAATGAAATAATAACATAAATAGAATGAAGTATTATATTGTTGGTAAATGTAATTTCTTCTCAGATATCTAGTATTGCTCTGGCAATCTAGTTTATTGTTACAATTTTTAAGCAACTTACTTTTTTAAATAAAGGTTTTTTGAGACCAAAAAAATATTAATTATATGCCAATGAAATTAATTCACGGAACGAACCCTGGAGATAAAAAATGCTGCAAATTTTATAAAGATATAGAATAATATAGAGAATAAGTACACCTTCTTTAGTACAAGAGACTAGAAATCAATTATTTAGTATGTCATTACAAAGAAAAAAATACACCCTTCACAGATATTTGATGTACGTAATTTAATATCAGTAAATATCAGAACAGAACACAGATTTGTTTTTTATAAGTAATAGAAAAAGAAAAGTGGTTAGTTGTGTTACCAAATTTAATACAGAATCATGCAAGGACACGATCTACAAGACAGTCAGAAAAAAATCTGGAACCTCTTATAAAAGAGTAAAAATCCAGTCAAGAGGAAGTAGTATTAAAGGCTGTAACTCAGATGCGCAAAATACTTTGAAAATCTGTATGAAAATAATAACGAAAACAATAATGAGATATACATTGAAAACCCATCATTTCCATACAATCAAAAGGAATACATTAGTCTAGAAGTACAAACAATTATATAGAAATTCATAAACCGAAAATTGTCAGATATAAATCATATTCCAAATGAAGTTAATGAACTGCTTAAGTATTGAGACATATAAATCTAAAATACCCTAATGAAAATACACGGAAAAGAGAACGAGCACGAAAGCTCGAAATGGAAATGGAAGATCAAGTGAATAGAGCAAACAGGGCAACAGGGTGCCTAAATGTGACAATATGGAGAAATTAAAATATCCAAAAATAAATGAAAGGCAGAATTTACAAAACAGTCATCAGACCAATATTGACATACGCGGCCAAAACACGACCTGATACAGAAAGAACAAAAAATATCTTAGAAACAGCAGAGATGCAAACAACTTACCGAGTGACAACAAAGAGTGTAGTAAAGATGGCAAGCGACGCTTCCCCAATAGGAAGACGATCAGTAGGAAGACCACGTAAACGATGGAACGACAACTTTTTTGGAGGCATATTGAAAAACATACAGAGTCATGTCTATATAAAAAAACTACAATTTTCATTATTACTTCGCTACATTTGCGATTTTGTTCCGTCATTTCGAGAATGTCTTGCAGTTTCAAAAGCGTTTAGTCCCCAATAAATCCTGTTAGTTTTAAATATTTATCTAAATGCCAACCACAGTGTTCAGGCTTTAGTTTTGTACATTACGACTCAGTTGCATTAAGCCACATGGAATTAACAAAAATAATTTTTAAAATATTGTGTTGTAATGATTTTCAGCATGGTGGCATAGTGTTCGAGTCATAATTTTAAATTTTATTCAAAAACTGTGCTTTTGCAGCATAAGTTTTCATAAAAATGCGATTTATTGCATCATTTCTTCTGTCGCAGTTATTTACGGCATTTACAGCATTTTCGCGGTAAACTCTTGAACAACATTAATTTTTTCATCAATGAATAAATATGTCATCAGTTAACGTTGTAAAAACGGTACGATACCTTTTATTCTGAGAAAATATTTTGAATGGTCTAATTTTTCGTTTAGTATAAAATACTACTGTGTAATCGTAACCTGTATACGCGTGAAAAGCAGGTAAACTTTGACATAATTTTGAACCCAACTTCAGAGCCAAATCGATGCAGTTGATACAATCAAGGTGTTGGTTACGTAACTTTTTAGTTGCTGGAGAGGCTAGCCAAATTGCGGATTGTAAAATTTTGTGCATATTTCCCAGCAAAATCACCGAAACATTAGTATCCGAAGCTTTAATTAAAATCCTTGATCCAGGTGCAATTTTATGAGCTTAAAAAACAATAAATACTATCCCAATAATCAGCCAAAAACGTACCACTGCCTCTTTAAAACGATAATTTTTAAGGCTTTGCAAAACATATTTAGGTTGTTGAGGTCCTGAAATTTTATATGGAATATCGAATTCCTTTCGAGCTTGACGTTTAGAATCTTTGATTGAGGGTGACAAATAGCGGGTAAATATTAAATGGATTTTTACAGCATTTGTATAACAAATTTTTATTGGTGTTGATCCTGTCATTTTTTAAAATGTTTGAAATATTTACTAATGAGTTGAAAGTAAGACAAATGTCAACCATTTCGGTATTCGGTTTCAAAGTTTTCCCAAATGCTGCTTTAGAAGTTTTCAACATTTCACAAGTACATAAAAAAAAAATCAGGCGGCATCGATGCGAGGGGAAAAGTCAACCAATGTTCTAGCTAGATGAATTTTCTTTTGTATGCCAACTACCAGAACTCGTCCAAAGATGACTTGTTCCATTTTCATCAGCACCTCCTTATTTTTATGTTTAGTCAAGAAAACTTTTGTAATGTTTTGAGAAGCAAAATTGATGATATTGTTACGTTTTATAGGTTTCTCAAATCTTGGAGTTAAAGAGAAATTTGAAATAAACTCTAATTTTTGTTGACTGCCACTTTCTTTGACGTTCAGCAGGAAATCAGTAACTTCTTAGATGTGACTTTGCCAGTCGAAATAATAAACAACTGTTGGTGACCAATGGATTCATCGTTTCCCTTTATGATATTATCTTTCACAGTTGATACTATTTTTGTCTTCATGCTGTGGCTGAGTACTCATGCTTTGTAGGTACCGTTAGTGTTAAATTTTTTTGTTAAACTCACTAGTAAAATTTAAAAAAGTCATATTTTAATTACTGAACAGGTAACTATAGTGTGGACATAATTATATTGGGCACCCCTTGTTTTTTTATAATTTTTAATATACTAAATTACCTATATATCAAATAATTTGTATCTATTAATCAGATCGGTGAAGCTATTCACCGATCTAGCTATTCCTCTACTATTAGATCCGGGTCATAAAATACCTGAGTCGTAATAATTTCGAGAACCAGGTCTTTCGGGTCCGTATAAAGATCTAAACATATAATGAGGCCTGTTCGTAAACGATCCATCACTATAGTAAAAGCAACATTTTATTAATATATATTTAGTGAAATGGGTATATTTTGGGTAAAATAACCTGTCATGCTCCAATATTTATCAACCTGAATAAAAGTGATTTAAATCAATATAAGGTTAAATGTTCTAATAAATGAACTTTGATGGTACACAAGGCAAATATCGAACACAGTATTTAATCAAATCTTGCCCAAGTACTTTCGATCACAAGAAATGCCCCTGAAGATGATCTTGTGATCGAAAGTACTTGGGCAAGATTTGATTAAATACTGTGTTCGATATTTGCCTTGTGTACCATCAAAGTTTAAAAAAAAGTGATTTAATTTGACAAGCAAGTTTGGAAGAGATACATTGCTTCTTGACTTACTAAAAAACTTAGTTTATTAAGACAGTTTTACATTATGCTATTTTCATGCTAGGC